AATAATAAGTTTTATCATTGTTTTTGGAACATCTAATTGTGCATAACTTTATAACATGACAAGGTGTGGAAATTACAAAAAAAAGTATAACAACTCTGAAATTAACATTTAAGTGAAATGAAAGGATTGGCTGGTGCAGGAGCTCTACTTCATCTCATGAAAAAGTTTTTTTATTATTATTATTATTATTAATCTCAGTGCATTCCTGTTGCCAGTCATTTTTTTAGTCGGTAGTGTAGCTGTCACTTCGGAATGGCTGGGGCTTAACCTGTTTTAGGTCTAAATGCAGCATTTTTGGTTTTCCACTCTGATTTCTTTGTGCTTGCTCTTATATCTACAACTGTAAATACACCCCAGTTTTGATTGGCGTGTTGTTGTAACCCACCTGTCCCCCTGGTTTCAACTTGCATTAGTGTTTTAGAAGAACTGTCACTAATGTCAAATATGACACATCATGACTTCACAGTAGGTGCAGTCCATCAAAGAGTATTGTCAAGAGGGTAACTTTTTTTTCTTCTCTTCCTTGTGTTTACTTGCATGAGTTACTGTAAGTAATTAACCCTAAGATCTCCTTTCAGTATTATGTTGAATAACTGTGGTTGTCTTGTATTAAATAACTACTCTTATCCCACAAAGAAAACTTTGATCAATGCCTTATGGGACCTGCTGAGACACTGGGGCTTAATGTTTTGAGAATTAATATTTTTGTGTCATTTGAAGTTATGTTAGATTTTCCCCATGGTAGACGTACTATATAGAGACTTCTCCACAGATATATCAAGAGTACATTGTGGTGACTGAGGGAAATGTCCTCATCAATTAGAATTTTCTTCTTCTTCTTGCCCACCACATCACCTTCAGGTACTGGTGCAATCCAGGACAGTGCTAATCTTTAAAATCTGAAAGGGCTTTCTTTCATACTCTAATTCCAAAGTACCCAAATGCTTCCATTCTGATTGTTTTTTGCCATTTGTGTTGTGTTTTTCCAAAAAATGAAAAATGTGTCTATATGAAATTCAAATTTTCTGTGAAGCCCCCAGAACACAGTCCCCTCAATTAACACAGATTGCTTGACTGTAACGACATACTGTATAATGGGTTTTGACTTGTCCCAATATGTTTGTGAGCACTGTATACTGGTTGTTGAGAATAAGACAGACAAAAATAACCATTCATTTACCTATTAGAACAAGTTTGATAGAAGAGCCTGAAGTACACTTACTTCTAGCGTAGTAGTTTGAAAGTCAGAACAGGATGCTTGAAGTCATCCTTTCTGTTGTTTTAAGGTGGTGAATACATAGGAATACTGTACATACAGGTCTCTAAATTCATCAATCAGACATAACATCAGAGATAAGATAAGATCACTTTATTGGCCAAATACAATTTCTTGTATAAGGAATTTGTAATTTTTCGCATACGCCAACTTGAACTTGAATGTATAAGGAAATCTGGAGAAAAAGTTCACTCTTGCTGCTGTATCCAAAGCTTTTTAAGCTTGAAATGTAATTCTGACAAGGTCACCTTTTTGATGTTAAACAGATAGAAAATATGAAGAAAGAAAACAGCAATGCACCATCTGAGTGAGCGTGCGAATGCTATGCTGTTTTTAGTAATTTCATTTTGCACTTGTACTGGATCTTACCAGCATTGGGGAACAAGTGCTTTTGTTATGTTTAAAAGGCCCCAATGTGCTCCTTACATCTGCCACAATTACTTTGAAGAAGGTGTGAGGAGATGTGGTCTGTTTTAAATGATTCACTGCTTTTGCATCTTCTTTCCTTCCTTTTTGATTCTGTAGCTCTGGTAGTAACAAGCTAAAATATTTAATAAATACCATTTTTAGCATTTTGTGGTAACTTTGTGCAGCCATATTAGCTGTATCTATTTCTAGTTTTAACTTTTCGTCATAGCCAAAGACAGTTTTAGCAGCAAAGTGAAAAGCTACAGTATGCATACAAGAAATATCCTGATTTTGCTTTTTTTTTGTTAATAACTGATTAGTCTTTTTATCTTTATACTGATCTCATAAATCTGTGCAAGTGTGATTTAGTAAAATTTTATTTTTTCATTAGCTGGTGTATTATATTACCAAAGGAGTCAGGCGTGTTGATAAATACAGTAACTAAAGCACGCATTCAGCTGGTTTCAAAGATTAATGGGAACTTTGAAAAAATCATTTCTCTTTACTGTTTATTAATATACTTTAAAAGATGAATGTGTTATACTGTGCCATATATCAGGGCAATGAATCATAATACACATGCCTACAGAAGTAAAGAATAATGAAACTATTTTCAGCTATACACTAGCAGTTGAATAATGTATCTGGTTCAAAGTGCTGCAAAGCAAGACCTATTATAGGTCTGGCTTTTTTTTAATTATTAGAAGAGACTGCAATAATATTATGGTTATTCTTTTTAAATAAATTTTAATCTAGTTCTATGTCTTGCAGCTCATGGAGGTTGCTGTCTTTGGGGCACTTCATAACCTTCAACTTCATGCCACACAGTACTGTGGGATACTTAATATTTGCCTCTTATTATTTGAGAAATTACAGTTTAGACAGGAAAATGGTATTCTTGGGTTAAACAGGTATACACCACAGACATCTAATATAGCATAGAAATATAAAAAATTGGGTACATGATCAATGAGGGAAACATTATTTTTGTGTGGTTTATCTCTTAATCTCCCTGTTTAGTGAAAATATTTTATTAAGATTTACTGTATCATGACAGGAGTCGACCAGCAGTTAGTGTTATGGGCTCCAACAGCTACAGTAGGGTATAGCAGAAGACAATGCCCATTATTGTGAAGTAAACTGCTGTTGCTAGTGGTACTGTACTGTGACTCAAACTATAACTGTGTTTCTCTAATGTATGGTATTTGGGAATAAATTAATGGTTACTTTAAGGGATATGTTTAAGTTTCTGGTTAAGATCAGAGACAAGGCTTCAGTATTTGCACATGCACAAAGCATTAGTTCTTGTAAAAATGATTCCACAAAACATAACTAAACATACAAGCTTTCAGATGTTTCTTTTAAAAAAAATCCAGACAGGAATTACTCTTCCTTTGAATTCACTTTGAATATCAAACAACTGGGCCATCAAAAGCACCGCTTTTGAACAGGCCAGCTGAAAATGAAAAATGTAGAAAAAAACAGTGTATCCAAGACCATTGGATAAGTCATCTAGGGAGAAATCCTAAAAGTAATGCTCACGGATGTCATGAACCACACAAGCTCCATGTCTTCTTTGACTTGGACAAATAAATACATTTCCTATGTTTGCTTTTGAAACATGAGGCAAAACAGCAGAGTTATAATCCAGTTTCTGTTAGCAGCAAGGCTGGAGTTCTAGCCACTCTGGGTTGGATTACAGCACCCCACAGCCGGGCTTGAGTGATATTATGCGTATGAAAAACCTAAGGCATTTCCTTTTTATAAAGAGAGGCCTCTGTGAAAGAGCATGTGGCTACACTGCTTTCAGAAGGACCAGCCTATAGCCTGTAAAAGAAATTTAACTCAGCCTTTGGAGACAGAAAAGGGGGTATTATTTTACAGTCCCACAATAGTCCCTTGGAGAGACAAATGACCTTATAACTGCTCATTCATTCTGTATTGTCATTTAACAATTCAAACAACATGAATCCGGTTGGTTTTCAAGCAGGGAGAGTCTTGGCTGTGTCATTAGCCGAGTGTGACCAGAGCCTCCCGAGCAGCAAAGCTCAAGTGAATCAAACTTGAGATGCCCGAGAGGATCCTTGGTTTGCAGTACAACAGTGACACCTGTGACTTCTCATGTACCAGCAAGCTAGCAGTGCTGTCAGTGAGGACCACATCAATCCTCAGATCAATGCCAGTACTGCTGTAGGAACTATAGGACCCCCAATGGGAATAATCATTTGTCTTGTAATGCATATATATTTGGAGGAAACTGTGCTTGGTCCTCACATCCTAATATTAAAGTTCAAACAGTGAGCAGAGCTCTTTGACAATTCCTAAAACTATAAAGGGATGGTGTATAAAAAGAATGAATTGTCTTAAGAAAAAATGATTCACTAAAGTAAAGTCCGAAACACATGAACATCACCAACCAACAAACACAAACCTGTATGGGTAGGCACATCTCTGCTGAAGTAGCGACTGAATGATTTTTGTACAGTATGTGTTTGGAGCTTAATGATGTATAAAATAGAACTTGTACAAAAGCATGGTTTTTCATTTTTTGATTCAGTATTGCTTGATTTTGCTTTAATTAATTAAACACTAAGGCAGTCATAAGTCTCTAGTGCCACTGTCCTTGCTAGAGCTTTAATGAATCTTGTGAAAAGCATGTGAGTGGGAACTTATTTCAAAGCCTCAGATGTGCCATTTTCAAGTCCGTTCATAAAAACATGTCATATCATACTTATATATTTAAAAATAAATGATTTGTTGAGTCTGCGTGATTCATATTTTGTATATTTTTTTCCACTTTTTGTACGTCCTTCATAAATTATGTATTTTAACCTTTTTTTCCCTTCCCTTCAGAGTAACTTGAAAGTCAGTGTATTTGAAGAGAATATTAAGGCTAACCTTTTCATTTTAATTCTTGCTGATTATGAACATTGGAGAAAATTTATCTAACAGATTTTATTACCCTCGACTTAATGAGATTCACAATTGTTTTAATTCGTAGGATGAACAGGAAATTAAAAAAGTATATTCTGTTAACCAAAGACTGTGATTTCAATGTCAGAATTTATTTGAAGATGGTTTGTAAGGAAAATGTGCTACTCCCTTAGTTTCAACTTATATTTTATATATTACTTAAAAAGGTAATAATTAGAAACCTCCAAAGTCATCTGGGATTATCACATTATCTGTAGCAGTAAAATATATTTTGATCTGTAATAACCTTTCCATGCTGTTATTAGCTTTATGATGCTTGTTTAAACAATTTAGATTGTTTTTATGCATTAACTTATATTTTTGTGTTTGTTTGGTTTTGCAGGCCTTCCCTTGTATATCAACTGGCATTTATGGTAAGCTTTGTCTTCATAATAAATCAGTTTAACTCTGTAATCTGCTTAAAATTTTGTAAATCAAACAAACTCATGCATTATCTTAAGAAAATTATTGTAATAAAAAAAGTCTCCATAATTTTATGGTGCTAGTCCTAACACTGAGTACTAATGTACTATCAACATCAATCAGCATGCATGTAACAGCTGTCCTTTTATCATTTATCAGATGTTCTTTATACATTTCTTAGTTAAAAATATAGATCAGTGTCATCCTGTGCCTCTGTGAATTCCTACGGTTTTAAATGTTAACTTCAGATATAATCTGTGGACATTCAGAGGTAATTGCAGACCATATTGCTTTCTGTTAAAGTTGGGCACATTTCAGAGGGAAAAAAAGCTTAAGCTTTCATTCATCTTTACTTCCAGTCCTCTGTACTGACCTACAGTATGAGAACAGTAGACACACCTGTATCCTCCTAGGCATGTGTGTCAGTCTTTTCTTTTCGCACTGCGATTCGACATACAGTGTAGGATGCAGCATGACTTGCACATCAAGCGGAGGACACGCGAGTCCCTATGCCTTCCAGGTCTACAGGAACCCAGCTGTTGACAGGGCTCACAGGTGCATGGCAGGCAGCAGCTCTCTCAGCCACAGCCTGCTGCCTCTGTTGTTCGGTCACTGGTGACCCCCACCCACACTGGGGTCAGACTTACACCCTACATTGTACGTAAGGAAATTTGCAAATGAGAGGAAGTCATTCCCAGGCCCTTCTAGCTTATTGGACTTTTAGTAGCTAATGAATGAAATTGGTAATGTTGTTTGGGCAGTGCTTTGGAGGATTTTGAATCAAGTCACCTTGTAGTGTTCTGTGTCCGAACCTTAAGGTTTCGTTCTTTTGACCTGTCAGTTTGCTAATCCTTTAAATTTTGAAAGCTGGAGTAGGTTATTCATAAGTACAGAGGTTCTGATGCAGATGCCTGTGTTTCTTCACCAGTCACACCTCCCTAAATTCAACATTCACTCCTTTTCAGTACAGAACTTTGTGGCTATTAACCAGTTCCAAATCAAAATACTGCACATGCCAGTTCTGCAACCCCTATTGCCTGTAGTTTGAAAATTAATATTGTATGAGACCCTTTTATTAAACTACTTCTGAAAAGCTACTGTGTATATAGAGTATTATATCATATTTCTGTTTATATCCATTACTGCTGTTGTTTCCCCAAACCTACATGTAATATAAGTAAGACACTTTATTCTATAATTACTTTGTATGGTTATATCATCCTTTTTGTGGATAGGCATTGCTTTTGCATTTTTCCAATGACTATTTTGCCTGTCTTAAGTGATTGTTGGAAGATGATCTATGAATAACATCTCTAGTTTCTGTGAAGTGCAGCTGGTATGATGCCATTGGACCCTGGAGGTTTATCTCAAGTGCTTCTAGTACCTGAACATTTCTGCCTCTTCTGTGCTAGCGGGGCTAACAATGAGCCCTTGGCACAGAGCTTTACCACAATTGCCACTGGGGAGAATGGTGGTGGTAACAGAAATCCATTTTTTCAGAAATTGAGATGTACTGTATATGCGATATAGTCTGTACATGTATGAGTTAAATGCATTTAATGGCAATAGTGATAGGGAATAGTGATAGGGAATGTTTAACTGGGGCACCGAAAAATACTGTGGAAAAAGAGACAGGCTGAGTACTCTTAACTGTGGAAGTTTTTAATTTATAACAATGCTGTTGAAAGCCTTTGTGTAAACCTTTGTGTATTTTTTTGTAATACAACCTTCTGAGGGACTCCTGCGTAATCTAAAATCCTATTTTATGAGTACACCTTGTAACAGAGAGATGCAGAGTACTTTGTAAAAGAAAACAGTAGTGTTGAAGTGCTCATTTCATGTGATGTTTTATGTAACGGTCCGCTGTGTTTTTACCCTGAACACGAACATTTGTGGTGCTGAGTCTATGTATAAGCTGGTCCCTGGAGTCAGTATGTGCTCTGTATCTGTAATGCCACAGTTAAACATCCAGTCTCTTAGAATAAAAATGTTGTTTACAGTGGGCAACATTCTCGCTAGATAGGTAGGTGAGTATAGCATTAGAAGTATGTTAATCATTGATAGAAAAAGGAAGAGCAGTGGTCTTAATACAGACCCCAGAGGTCACAGGAAACATTTTTTATATATTTAGTTTCAGCAGTTCTTACAAGTCCTGACACTCTGGTTTCACAGGTTATAACAGCCATGCGGTATAATATAAGGAACTGCCATAAAGCAACCTTCATATTCTGCTAACACAGAGGCTTCACTGCTATTTATCCATATATATGAGAAAAAATAGACACAGCTTTTCATAATTGCCCACACTGACCTTTGAAATAGAGCTGCAGACCTGCGGAGTGTATTAATTCCTTGTACTCTTTAAATTCATTTCTTGTGCCTTTGCCCTCACAAGCAACTATGTAAAAGGTCAAGCTATGTGTCAGGTATGTTTTTCTGCCTTTTTAAAGCTGTAATTTTCCAGTTATTTGTTATTTATTTCTTGGCTATGAACCATGACAAAAAGTAAAGAGGTTTTGGTGCCACTCATGGAGAGTAATAAGCAGTGGTAAATCTATTCTGCCAAAACATACCAGCATGATTCCTTCAGACAGTTAAGTTGTGAATTCTATACAGTACTTCAACAAGAGTCAACACATCGATTTGTGACTGTTAAACCAAAAGGCACAGCTTAAACCAACAGTAAATTGAAGTCCAAAGGTACCATAGTACAAACGCTAAAAATCCAGTACATTAAAAACATTTAAGTTATAGAACTGGAAGTTTCATCGGTATTTATATTTGAGACTTTTCATTTTGTACAAATTTACTTTCAGTTGATCTTTTAAATTTGGAATTATTTATATTATAAAAAAAATGTAGTTGTTTAGAATACAAGAGAAATTAAAACTGATTAATTCAAAATTATAATGGCAACAGATAACGGCTACAGAGAAAATGACACTTTAAAGTTTTGTGAATTACAATAATTATAAAATAATTAAATTTAAGGAAGAATTCATACTAATGAAGCATTCATAGATAAATACTGAATATAATTTGGAATTGTAATAATGAAGAAATTAATCATATTTTAGGGTCCTAGTTTAGTGTGGTATACTTGCTGTTAGTCTTATCAAGGGTCCAATTTACGTTTTTAGTATTATAATTTATCATAATGTAAATAATCTCAGTCATTTTAACTAGACGCTCTGCATTGTTTAATGTAGGCCTTTACCATTGACTCTTAATGAGGTTTCTCACAAGAGGTTTTGTAGAAATAATGGTAATAGAGTATAGAGAATGGATTTTTCCCTCTCCGTTTGTTTACTGATGTCACAGTAATATAGGCTATTTTCCTGAGTGTTTCAGGAAACAACAATGAGCGACATTTTCACATCTCAATTTGTTCTACCCACAGTGCAGAGTTCATTACCAGGCATGTTTGCAAGTAGGAAAGGTGAGAACTTGAAAGATCCATGGGTTTTCTTTAAGGGAGTTAAAAATGTTAACAAATAAGCATGTTTTGATACTGACATTGAAGGCTAACTTGATTGTTTTTGTGGCACTTCAAAATTAGAAATCAATTACCAGTTGCAACTTAACAGAGTCCGCCTGACACTGTTTCAGGGCTGTCATAGCTGAAGAAATAACAGGTTTGTCAGATGAATAACTGTAATTGGCAATCTTTCTCTTAATTTCCGTGGGCTCAGCCATCATTGACAAATTAATCACAATCGGGGGCAGGGAGCAGCAGGGGTAAAGTACAATGTAGTAAAGAAAAATGAGGCCTCACGCTGGCTTGACAGTCCAATCTTTCAGTCCACCCCATTAGATCCAACAGAGTTCTTGTGCGGTTAGCATGTCAGAGGTACCACCCATAAACAAACTGGAACCATCACAGGCTCCAGGTCGGGTAGTATGATAAAGGTTATTGAGTGCTGGTCTACTAGCTCATCAATCAGTGCCATGAAGCGGAGGTTCACATGGATTATTTCTCCTGAGCTGGAGACACCACTCAATGTCTTACAAGATCAGCGCTGATAGCACAGCCTGAATTAAATCCCAAAGACTGATAGTGGAGTGGGTCTCATGGGAGTCTTTTGCCTTTTCTCACTCTGAAAGAGAATATAACATTATGGCCATTACCGGCCGTCCCTTCCCCTTCACTGCTCTTGTCAAACAAATTTAGTCAGCACTGTAATAGACAAAGCATCATAAAGGGGGAAGAAAAACCTGACTCTGTGTTCTTGTCTGTTTTGTTTGTCCTTGTATTCTGAAAGATATGTATCAAAAGAAATACAGGGTGCAGAACTGATTTTAAAAAGTAGTATCTTTCACAAAATGAAGGTAAAGCAGCAACTTTATTATTTCCTACTTGGATTTAAAACGAGTAGTCTTTCTTTGAAAGTTGTTCGAAGATACCTGTGAAAGAGTATGTATACTGTACATGAATACTAATAGGAATTTCAGGGTGCACTGTAGCATAATTTATTAGACCATTAGTAGTATTTTTACTTTTTACAGACCCACAAAGCCTCAAAGTAGTGACAATAATAAGGATGAATTGAATGTACAGTAATTCCAGTAGTAATAAGAATGAGTCTCCTTTTTGGCTTACTCATTTTTTCTTGTGGATATTTTTATATAACACTGTAATTGACAAACAAAGTTCTGAGGCCTGTGCAGATAAGATGTTGAGAGCAATTTAAAGATAAATTCCATTTCACCCACCTACCCCTCCCCAAAGAAGAAAATATGCACAGTTCTAGTCTTAAGAAGCTTGTAAATGTCAGACTGACTACATAAATTTAGTCTCTACAGTTCTGACAATGAAACCTGCCCTTCAGCAGAGAAATAATTTACTAGTAGCCAGTAGCATCATTTAATAAAAATTCATTACACCCTGAGCTCTCTTTTTAATCAAGTCTGTGAGCTGAGGTGAAGATAATGAGTGCACATATTGCTGCTA